TCCTTAGCCCCAATATTTGATCGTTCCTTACTGTAATTSCCTCTCTGACTCAGCCCTTGAGCTCCTCATTTCATCACTCCACAGAGCAGGAACACGGCAGAAATTCTTCTTGCTGGTAAAACAAAGCCTTCCTTTCTCCCCCTTCTCTCTTCCCGCAGTCCATCGATTTTTTTTTGCCCCAAAATTCCCTGCCTGGCCAGGCTGGAGCAGCCTGGTTCAGTGAGAGATGTCCCTGCCCATGGCAGGGGGTTGAARATGATTTTTAAGCTCTTTTCCAACYCAAACCATTCTGGGATTCCCTSATTCCATSATAAGARCCTTTAGACAGTGTCCCCACAGRAGACACCCGTGTCAGTCCTGGGAAAATGTAAATCTGGGGAATCCTCCACCTGCTCACAGGTGTTTAAAATGTTAAACCAAAATGATAACAATCACCGTTAAATCAGCCTGGTAAAATCATCAGCCACKAAATTTATACAATTTAATGTATAAATTTGTACAATTTATAAGAGGAAATGTCAATGAACTGTGCTTTTGTATTTAAAAAGCAGCCAGGGTTGCTGTAACACCTCTGTTACCATTTTTGAGGAATAAAAAAAGAGCTTTTCCCATTTTGCTCCCTGAATTTTGTTCCCTCCCCAGTGCTCACCCTCGGGGATGGTGAGGGCAGGCCCTGCTGTGCTGCTGACYCAGCCCCAAATTCCCCTGTTCCTCCTGGCATTAACTGCTGGCCCATCAGCCACGATTTAACACCCAAAATTATTCATTTTACTCAATTAAAACATTAAATAACCACTGTTCTGTGAGAAAAGAGGAGCAGAAAGGAACAGTTCTGCTCTCACCCCTTGYAGTCACACATTTCTGATTTAACTCTGAGCACCCAGCAGTTGCCTCTCACTTGATCCCAGTCCCAAACATCACCCAAAAACATCTTAGGGCTTAGGGCTTCCACAGATTCAGGCTGAGCTTAAAAGCCAGGCATTACTTCTACTTAACACACAAACCACCTCCCTCAGTTTAGCCAAGTTGACCTAAAAATACAGCTTTTTGCCACACAAAGATCCCTTTGAGACTTGCTGGAGGAGCTGATTTTTTTTTTTTTCAGTGTTCTTGGAAAAAAAAAAGCTTCTGAAGCTTCATTTGGCTCCGTTGCACTGCACAGGGACTGTGAGACCATTGCTGCTGCTCTGGGATGGGGATTGATAAAATGAGACACTCCATTTCGAGCAAAATTAATTTTCTGCACAATTTGTTTTTATGTGTTTGTGAAATATATTTTAAAAATCCTGCTTTTCCCTAAGAATTTCCTGCTCTTAAAAAAACAAATAAACAAAAAGCCACCGAGTTTAAG